GTCATCTTTTGTTATAAGACATTTGTTTAAAGTTATTTTTAGAATAAGCACGAATACGTATATATTTTTATATAATAATATGTCATCTTGAGAAGTAATTATAGTATGGCTTCAGAGTATGATCATAAAATATTTATTATAATATAAGTGGATATTTATTGATATTATGTCTTAAAAGTTGAATATCTTATCATTGATTGATATTAAGCACGTAAACGAGTTATATTATATAGTAGTATTTTAGTTCCTTATAGTAATTTATTCGCATTTAAGAAATAACAAAACAAAAAGAATAGTTTAGATGTTCAAAAATGTTTTCGGTTACAAGTAAAAAAAACCATTTTAGTTTGGCCAATTGGATTTATATAAAGTTACCCAATTGATTTTGGTTACAAGTTATATAAGCAACCCCTAACTCATGAATCATGAAAAAATTTGCAAATGTTGTGAAATAATTGTAACAACATTATGGTTAACCATAATCCATAACACTATAATACCCTAATTTACAAAGAAAATAACACATAGTACCAATGTAAGAATGGACTTTGGAGGAGTAAAATTATGTCATTATCCTTGTAAAGACAATTGAAAATCTTGTAATTTATGAGAAAACTTGTAGACTTTCTACTTTTATACTTATTTTTCTTGACTTTTAATCCTAACCATGTACTATAAAATCCATGGCCATGTTAGGAAAAGAATATAAATTTATAATACTTCGTGGATGTCTACAAAAGTATAACCATGTAACATAGAGTTCAACAAGTAATATAGTTCTTCTTTTAGAAATTGATTTCAACCAATTACATAGACAAAACTCGAGGTGAAAAAATTTGATGGATAAAGACTTTCAAGCTCTCAAATAAATTTTGATGCGTATTCACCAATTCTACGAAACAAAAGAAACAAAAAATTAAAACTATCAACCTCAATTGATTTTAAAAACTAGGCATAAAATGCAGAGGAATTAACTATAACTAGCCATCATTATTCATAGAAATAAAATCAGCAAATCATAATGAACTTGAGTAAATCTACAATGAGGTGACACAACGAAATTAGAAAAAAAAAAAAAAAAAAAATAAGTTCTCATAAAAAAAGTGTATAAAACGGTAACTTTAGATTTAGAAAAGTAAACAAATACCATTGCGAAATTCATAAGCATGTCATCGTGAGTTAAAAAGAATAAACTCAATTGAAAAATAACATGTCAAATTATATGCCAATTGCCAAACAGGAAGGACATAATTGCATAACCCTTGCGCAATTGCATTTGCGTTAAATATTAACAAAAAGTGGAAACTTGACAACTTATATAACCGGTAACCAAATTTTTAAAAATTCTAGACTCATCATAATGGACAAATGGTGCATGAATGCACCTAGTGCACTATAGAAGGTGCTGAATATTCAATGTCTCATACTCAGGTCAGTTCGTATTAATGAAAGTGCATGAATGCACCAATGTCTCATACTCAGGTCAGTTCGTATTAATGAAGGGACCCCTTTATAGAATAGACTTACTAATCAAGAAGACTTGTGTGATGGCACGAGTCAACTAGCAACTGTAATTGCATTATTGATTAGCTATCCACATTACAAAAAAGTTAAATGCTCCGGTTCTGCCTGACAAGCCTTATCTTCTGAAAAGTCACCGACAATGTTGCGTATAATTAATTCATAGGGTTGGCGGAGTTAATGCACCGGCAGGTCTACATTTCTGTTGACAAAAAAAGCCAATTGACAATGGAACAGTATTTCAACTCCTTATAAAGTCCATCAATTTTTCAATGTGAGACAAACATTCTCAAGCTCTCAACATATATACCCCCTCCTTTTATATTATACGTTTTTGTTTTGGGACAACATTGCATATAGGGCAACTTAAGTATATGCAGACTTGTGAATAAAATTACTTGTTACATTTGTTATTGGGGGTAATCTTATTTGTATTATACTTATGTCTCATGGGATGCCTAAACGAGCCGCATTTTCTTGTCTTACAAAATTCAGAAAAGTCATTAATACACAATTTAATTATATGTTAAAAGACAACTGTTATTGGTTGTTCGCTACTTTTCAAAGCAAAATTTTCATAGGGAAGCTCTAGTCTCTCTGTCAAGTTGAGAAAAGTCATGAAAGAAAAACGTGGTGATACAGAGAGTTTTGCAAGATTAATCATATGGTGATGTCATTGGTGACGAAGCCAAGAGATTATTCCAACATGAAGTCACTACTAGACTTACCACGATGTATCAAAAGTCTACAAATAGCAGCTTAAGGTTTCAATGAGAGTCACTTACGATGATATTTGCCCTTTGGATTGTAGTAACTACCAGGAGAAACTAAGTAGCAATCAGGAGCAAGAAAAGCTTTGAAAGCTCAGTAGGTTCAGAGAAAGAGAGAGTGATAGCCAAAGAGAAAAACAATACCCAAAAAATGACTACTTTGGGAGCCCTAATAATCATTCTTTCAACCTTTCTGTGTCTGCTTCTTGTCTTAGCTTTCATCAAGATCCTTCACAAACTATGGTGGACTCCGATTCGCATGCAGAGGCTGATGGCTTTGCAGGGGATCAAAGGCCCTTCTTACAGATTCATCCATGGAAACACCAAAGAAATCTCCAACATGAAAAAGGAAGTCATGGGCAGGCCTCACATTTTATCACACGACATATTTTCTGTAGTTCAACCTCACGTTCACTCGTGGACCAACATATATGGTAACAAAATAACAAGCCATCTCAATTAGTTAACAATATCTAAGTTCAAAACAAGATAAGTTTTGGTCATTTTTGCATGCAATTACAGGGAAGAATTATCTTCAATGGCGTGGTTCTCAAGCTCAGTTGGTCATAACAGAACCTGAGTTGTGCAAAGAGATACTAAATAACAAAGGCAGAGCTTATCCGAGAGGAGAGCCCCCAAACATTTCGAAGAAGCTATTTGGAGATGGCCTTGTGGCAACAAACAAAGCTGAAAAATGGGCAAAATTGCGAAAGCTGGCCACCCATGCTTTCCATGGAGAGAGTTTAAAAGTAAGTTTTTAAGTTGCTGGTACTTTGTTCCAAAGAGTATTATAGACATAGCTGTGTCACTTTCTGAATACTAAAAGAATAAGTTGAATGGTAAATATGCTAATACTAAAAGCATTATGATATTTTTTTACTAGAGCATGATTCCAGAAATGGTAGCTAGTGCTGAGAATATGGTAGAAAGGTGGAAAGTTTATGAAGGAAAAGAGATTGAGGTGTTTGAAGAGTTTAGATTGTTCACTTCGGAAGTGATTTCGAGAACAGCATTTGGCAGCAGCTATTCAGAAGGACAGGACATATTTGAAATGGTGAGGAAGTTAAGCTTCCTAATATTCGAAAATATTCTCAAAGTCAGGGTTCCTGGCATCAGGTAACTTAGTACTTCTAATATTCCAATTGAAGAGAAGAAATAAGAAATTTTTAGAGAGTTACTTCTGTTCTCTCATTTTTAGTCTTTCATTCAATGTTGCAGTAAGCTCTTCAAAACCAGCGATGAGATCGAATCGGAAAAACTTGAGAAAGGAATCCATGCCTCCATAATAGAGATGGTTAAGAAAAGAGAAAAGAAGACAATGACTGGAGAAAACGACAGCTTTGGGAGTGATTTTCTTGGATTACTTCTGAAGGCCAATCATGAAGCCAATGAGAACCAGAGGATTTCGGTGCAGGAGATAATTGATGAGTGCAAGACGTTTTACTTTGCCGGACAAGAAACCACTAATAATTTGCTTTGTTGGACTGTTTTTCTTCTGGCACTCCATACAGATTGGCAAGAGGAAGCAAGAAAGGAGGTGCTACAATTATTTGGCAAACAAACTCCAAATCTTGATGGCATTGGCAAACTGACAACAGTAAGAAACTTGTCTAGCTGGCAGAAATATGTTCTCAATAAAGTTCGAGATCCTGATTTGGTTATCCATTTTTCTTTTCATTGCAGATGAGTATGATCATCAATGAGACTCTAAGGTTATATCCCCCTGCTGTTCAAGTTCAAAGGAGAGTCGAAAGGGAAGTTAGACTAGGAAAGCTGATTGTTCCTAGTAATCTTGAATTGGATGTCTCAATCGTAGCAATTCACCATGATCCTCAAATCTGGGGACAAGATGTGCAACTTTTCAAACCAGAGAGATTCTCGGAAGGGGTTGCCAAAGCAACCAACAATCAGGTAGGCGCATTCATACCCTTTTCAATGGGACCTCGAATTTGTGTGGGCTTAAACTTTGCGACAACAGAAGTGAAGATTGCTTTGTCGATGATTCTACAACGTTATGCCTTCACCCTTTCCCCGGGTTATGTCCACTCGCCCTTACATCTTATTACAATTCGTCCACAACATGGAGTACAGGTAAGGCTACAACCACTTTAAACTGCGAAGATCAGATCAGTTGCCCATGATTCTTGTACTTGGTGCATAAAGTGGGCATAACCCATGTTGTGCCTATGAATGTTGCACTTTGAGACAAGACAGATAAGGAGCTTACTTGTCAATTATCCTTTCAAGTTTACGAAGCGATTGTTCTCTTAGTTTTGCAGTATTTTGTTGAGTCCAAAGTTTTCCTGTTTGTTTTTGTTTTTTGGGTAGAATGAAATCTTATGCTTACAGTTGTAATAAACATTTTCAGTTTATGGTAAAACGAATTTTGAAAAAACGGCAGAAAGAAAGCTCAAACACAATATGAAATTGGTAATTAATCCCAAAACCAAGATGAGGGTACTTTAATTAACATAGATAGGGACATTACATAAAGATAGATAAAAGCAGCAATATAGTAGACTGCTACTCTTTTATTCATGTAGTAGTAGTGAGTAAGTAGTTACTTCATTCCTATCTATTTGCGCAAATCCCTGAAATAGGCAGCTGGGTTGCTCTCAAAGCTCTCCCTGGAGATTGCATAATCTCTTCCAGGTGCTTTCATATTCCCTGCTGCATTGCCTCCACCACCAACACCACCACTTGCTCCTCCTACATTGGATGACTTGCCTCCACCACCAGCATTTGGTTTCCATTTTCAACCTGGCTATTACTATTAGAGCCTTTAGGACCGGGCAAGTCAGGGCGGATTTCGGGGCGTGCTTGAATGGGATGGTTCAACAGTTCTTTAGGACCTTATCGGTACCATTTAGGCATGATGAAAAATGCTGCTATAGTGGCTGTTTGAGTTCACTCAGAGAGAGAGAGAGAGAGAGAGAGAGAGAGAGAGAGAGAGAGACCTTATCGGTACCATTTAGGCATGATGAAAAATGCTGCTATAGTGGCTGTTTGAGTTCACTCAGAGAGAGAGAGAGAGAGAGAGAGAGAGGGTTGTGGATGAATTTCCAAACTTACCCTCACCTTTGACAGAAAATTTAATAGAGTTTGACGGAAGGACTAATGGTGCAACACAACAGCCAATTGAGTGACCTCTGCAACTAATAATTGAATTGAGTGACCAAACGGTAACTACGGGTATAGTTGAGGGACCATTGCTACGAATAACCCTTCTAATAATTACATTTATTTAAAATATTATTATTTTAATCTAATAATTATGAATTGCACAGTACCCCAAATTCTACATCTCCCTTCCTCCATGCCCCGCGTAGGTAATCTCCATAGCCTCGATGTGCTAAATATCACCATTTGCCCACCTTTCATACCCAGATCAAAACAAAGCAATACATATGGAGTTTGAGAAAATACCCAAGCGGACATGTTAGTGAATTCCTTGTGCCTTGTTTTGCTGTCTCACTACTGAATGCTATTATGTCAGCCTTCTTTGTTCGGTTGTTGGATGTAAAATCCAAGATGAGGGTACTTTGATTAACATAGATAGGGACATTACATAAATAGATAGATAGATGGATAGATTGATAGATTAACAAACAAAAGCAGCAATTCACTACTACTCATTTTTTATTCAAATAGTAGTGAGACTAAGTAGAAGTTATTTGCGCAAATCCTTGAAATAGGCAGCTGGGTTGCTCTCAAAGCTCTCCCTGGTGATTGTATAATATCTTCCAGGTGCTTTCATATTCCCTGCTGCATTGCCTCCACCACCACCGCCACCACTTGCTCCTCCTACATTGGATGACTTGCCTCCACCACCAGCATTTTGGTTTCCCACCTGGCTATTACTGTTACCATTAGACCCTTTGCTGCCTCCCATTTTTGCAATCCAAAATGCTTTTCTGGTTTCTGTTTTTGGTCAGGTAAGATAATCCAAAGTGCAAAATTACTCAGTTGGCTTGGTTATGTGGCTTAGTTGGAGGGCTGCATTGCTATATAAACACACAGATTCAGATTGTAGTGCATCAGTTTGGTTCTAAGAATTAAAAGAGTCAAAAGTGGAAATGAATAGAAGAAGCTTTGGAACTGCCAGAATACTATTGACTGTTTGTTCATTGAACTTGAGTTTTCCAATACCGTGATAGGATTGGGATTTGAATACTTGGATGAAGTATGGTGTTTCCAATCCAAGTATGTGGTTTCCTTTCTGACGGAATGTCTAATTACGAAAAGGATGGCATTTCCCAACAACAATTGTACAATAAAGAAAGCTTGAACGTCATCGAAAGTCCTGCAAACTACATTATAATTTCTTGCTCAGATATCCGATACCTCAATCAACAAGGGGTTTTGATCCCAAAAAAGAAGAAAAAAGAAAAGAACTACGAGGCCGAAATAGAATCAACGCAAACAATTTGGGCCCGCAAAAGAAAATATGAAGGCCCAGAGATCTTCGACCAAATAGCTTGATGGGAACGGATATGAAACATTAGTGACATGAAGGGACATAGAAAATGGGGACAGCGGATCCGCCCGGAGGTTGATTACTATTTTTCAAAGCAAAATTTTCATATGGAAGCTCTAGTCTCTCTGTTAAAGTTGAGAAAAAGACATGAAAGAAAATCATCTGGTAATACTAATGTCATTGGTGACGAAGCCGGGAGATAAATTCCAACATGAAGTCTACCATGATGTATCAAAAGTCAACAAATAGCAGCTTAAGGTTTCAATGAGAGCCACTATTTTGGATGTAGTAACTAGCAGGACAAACCAACAAACAGAAGCAACATGACCAGATTGGTTTTTTCTTGACTTTTTTCTAATCAATCAGGAGCAAGAAAAGCTTTAAAAATTCGGTAAGGTTCATTCAGAGAAAGAGAGAGAGAGATAGCCGCAGAGAAAAACAATACCCCCAAAATGACTACTACGGGAGGCCTAATAATCATCTTTCAAGCTTTCTGTGTCTACTTCTTGCCTTAGCTTTCATCAAGATCCTTCACAAACTATGGTGGACTCCGATTCACATACAGAAGGTGATGGCTTTGCAGGGGATCAAGGGCCCTTCTTACAGATTCATCCATGGAAACACCAAAGAAATCTCCAACATGAAAAAGGAAGTCATGGGCAGGCCTCACATTTTATCACACGACATATTTTCTGTAGTTCAACCTCACGTTCACTTGTGGACCAACATATATGGTAACAAAATAACAAGCCATCTCAATTAGTTAACTATTGTTATTTAATTCTTAGTTCTTAAGTTTTGGTCATTTTTGCATGCAATTACAGGGAAGAATTATCTTCAATGGCATGGTTCTCGAGCTCAGTTGGTCATAACAGAACCTGAGTTGTGCAAAGAGATACTGAATAACAAAAGCAGAGCTTATCTGAAAGAGAGCTCCCAAACCTTTCGAAGAAGCTATTGGGAGATGGCCTTGTGGCAACAACCAAAGCTGAAAAATGGGCAAAATTGCGAAAGCTGGCCACCCATGCTTTCCATGGAGAGAGTTTAAAAGTAAGTTTTTAAGTTGCTGGTACTTTGTTGCAAAGAGTATTATAGTAATAGCCGTGTCAACTATTTAAACATGAAAAGAATAAATTGAAGGCAAAAGTCTGCTAATAGCATGATGGTATTATTGTTTTACTAGAGTATGATTCCAGAAATGGTAGCTAGTGCTGAGAAGATGGTAGAAAGGTGGAAAGTTTATGAAGGAAAAGAGATTGAGGTGTTTGAAGAGTTTAGATTGTTCACTTCGGAAGTGATTTCGAGAACAGCATTTGGCAGCAGCTATGCAGAAGGACAGGACATATTTGAAATGTTGAGGAAGTTAAGCTTCCTAATATACAAAAATGTTTTCAAAGTCAGGGTTCCTGGCATCAGGTAACTTAGTACTTCTAATATTCCAATTGAAGAGAAGAAATAAGAAATTTTTAGAGAGTTACTTCTGTTCTCTCATTTTTAGTCTTTCATTCAATGTTGCAGTAAGCTCTTCAAAACCAGCGATGAGATCGAATCGGAAAAACTTGAGAAAGGAATCCATGCCTCCATAATAGAGATGGTTAAGAAAAGAGAAAAGAAGACAATGACTGGAGAAAACGACAGCTTTGGGAGTGATTTTCTTGGATTACTTCTGAAGGCTAATCATGAAGCCAATGAGAAACAGAGGATTTCGGTGCAGGAGATAATTGATGAATGCAAGACGTTTTACTTTGCCGGACAAGAAACCACTAATACTTTGCTTTGTTGGACTGTTTTTCTTCTGGCACTCCATACGGATTGGCAAGAGGAAGCAAGAAAGGAGGTGCTACAATTATTTGGCAAACAAACTCCAAATCTTGATGACATTGGCAAACTGACAACAGTAAGAAACTTGTCTAGCTGGCAGAAATATGTTCTCAATAAAGTTTGAGATCCTGATTTGGTTATCCATTTTTCTTTTTGATGCAGATGAGTATGATCATCAATGAGACTCTAAGGTTATATCCCCCTGTTGTTTTAGTTCCAAGGAACGTCGAAAGGGAAGTTAGACTAGGAAAGCTGATTGTTCCTAGTAATCTTGAATTGGTTGTCTCAATCGTAGCACTCCACCATGATCCTCAAATCTGGGGACAAGATGTGCAACTTTTCAAACCAGAGAGATTCTTGGAAGGGGTTGCCAAAGCAACCAACAATCATGTAGGCGCATTCATACCCTTTTCAATGGGACCTCGAACTTGTGTGGGCTTAAATTTTGCTACAACAGAAGTGAAGATTGCTTTGTCGATGATTCTACAACGTTACGCCTTCACCCTTTCCCCGGGTTATGTCCACTCGCCCTTACATCATCTTGTTACAGTTCGTCCACAACATGGAGTACAGGTAAGGCTACAACCACTTTGAACTGCGAAGATCAGATCAGTAGCCCATGATTCTTGTACTTGGTGCATAAAGTGGGCATAACCCATGTTGTGCCTATGAATGTTGCACTTTGAGACAAGACAAACAAGGAGCTTACTTGTCAATTATCCTTTCAAGTTAACGAAGCGATTGTTCTCTTTAGTTTTGCAGTATTTTGTTGAGTCCAAAGTTTTCCCGTTTGTTTTTGCTTTTTGGGTAGAATGAAATCTTATGCTTGCAGTTGTAATAAACATTTTCAGTTTATGGTAAAACGAATTTTGAAAAAATGGCAGAAAGAAACCTTAAACACAATATGAAATTGGTAATTAATCCCAAAACCAAGATGAGGGTACTTTGATTAACATAGATAGGGACATTACATAAAGACAGATAAATGCAGCAATATAGTAGACTGCTACTCTTTTATTCATGTAGTTGTAGTGAGTAAGTAGTTACTTCATTCCTATCTATTTGCGCAAATCCCTGAAATAGGCAGCTGGGTTGCTCTCAAAGTTCTCCCTGGAGATTGCATAATCTCTTCCAGCCTCCAGGTGCTTTCATATTCCCTGCTGGATTTCCTCCACCACCACCACCACCACCACCACTTGCTCCTCCTACATTGGATGACTTGCCTCCACTACCAGCATTTTGGTTTCCATTTCCTACCTGGCTATTACTATTACCATTAGAGCCTTTGCTTCCTCCCATCTTTGCAATCCAAAGTGTTTTTCTGGTTTCTTTTTTTCTTGGTGAGATAAGATAATCCAAAGTGCGAATTACTAGGTTGGTTCTGTCTCTGTGGCTTTGTTGGAGGGGTGCATTGCTATATATACACACAGATTTAGATTGCAGTGCAGAAGTGGAAATTAATAGACGAAGCAGGGACTGCCAGAATTATATTGACTGTTTGTTCATTGAAATTTAGTTTTCCAAATACCGGGATAGGATTGGGATTTGAATACTAAAAACCTTTGGATGAAGGTTATATATTGGAATATGGTTTTTCCAATCCAAGTATGTGGTTTCTGAATGCTAATGAAGAAAAGGATGTTATTTAAGTCGATGCCTTTCCCAACAATTGTACAACAAAGAAAGCTTGAACGTCATCGAAGCTCTGCTAATTCAACCTGAAATTCCATTACAATTTGTTGTAGCAGCAAACCAAATTCTTTCCTCTTCTTGAAATTGAAGTTTTGTTGGCTACTTTAATATTTCATGCCCCAACAAACTCTTCAATTCAATTAATGCAATGTTATGGAAAATAATGAAACATATGAAAACATGTGAAAAATATCTATATATTCATTATTTGAAAGGAAAAAAAAAAGAATGTTTTTAGATTTTCAAAGTAAGTTTTATTTTTCTTTTCCAAAGAAAAATAAATGTTTTGAAGAGTCAATGTCAATTACAAGTCTTGAAGAGAGAAAAATATGTTACACACCTTTGATGACTGAGTTTGAAAAGAATGTAGGAGAGGATTTTGATGATGTGA